ATGCAATTTCAAATGCCCCTTTATTGATAGAAACTGATAGTACTGAGTGTTTTACTTGCTATTACTTGTTTATCAGTAATAATGTTCGACAGAAATAGTTTATATAAAACACAAATTGTTTTATTTTTATAATTATCATTACCTAGTATTAATCCGTATGTAATATACACCCACTCCAAGCTGGTTGCAAATGAAGTCAAGATTATAGCAACAACTGCTATAATTCCTGCAGACACTACCAGTGGACGACAACCAAACCGCTTAGATAAACCACCGGCAAATGGTCCTATTGGTAATAGGAACAACACACAACATAACAGATCCAGCACAGTTGTTGTAATATATGGCACTTGATGTATGTTGTACATTGATATAATTTGTGATTTTAAAACAGTTTCTCTGTAATTCCATTTATATATAATATATATATATCTTAGGGTTTGTGATTCCAGAAATGAAATATAACAACTCACCTGCCAAAGTTCCCACTAAAGCTTGGAGTGACTGGACTGCAAAGGTCCTTCCAACACCTTTTTTGAAGTATTCAGAGAATAACACGAAAAACATGCTAGAACCAACTAGGCCACCTACAATAACAGCTTGAATATACATACACCCAAGTACAACTACCCATCCATACCAACTGTTATAATCATGGTTAGCCCTTGAAGGCTTCATGGTTATTTAAAGATTTTTAACCTGGAATATACAGTCAATTTGATCAACGCTATTCATTTGCTAAATCATTTAATTATCGATTGGTAAATATTGATGCAGTCCGCATCATCGAGATTTGACAATGTAATGCTAAAACACATGGCACATTAGGGGTATATGAAAGAGTACAGAATAATACATACGCACATATGCGCTACTGGAAGTTTGTTTTGTTATATAATCTCCCGACCAGTTTAGTTCATAATTGTTCCCATGACAACAACGTTCAAAGTGATATGGCTAATTGCATTGAATGCCTGCATGTAAATCGGTGACGTATCGCTGACAAACGCTGGTCATATCTACTGATAAATTATGTCAATAGTAATATTAAAATGGTTTCTAGGTCAACAAGTGCACTACAAAGTCCGAAGTACAATACCCTTAGTGTCGACAAAACCAAGGCATAACCTGTTTTTTAGATCACGGTCGGTGAATTGTAAAGTCAACTAAAACTGGAATCCAGTATAAAACTGGTATACTCACTCATCATACGCTATATTAAGCACTGTTATTATTCAATTAAATTAAACTATTCGTCAGAAATGACTGGAGGATATGGCATGTGTATTACCATGTATTTGAATGTGGCAGACTATTTGTGCATCTATAATATTGTAGCAAACAGAAAATGAAATACGGATCACGTTCGACGTCAAGTCGAGAACATTATTGGGCAAACAATACTCAAACCAGTATGTAATTTGGGCTGCAACTGTTACACTCGCTCATAGTCAAATTAGCAGGGTGTAAAATGCGTTCGAGTACTACACACGACAGAACTTCAAAAACATTATCTAAATATGACATACACGTCTACTACTGTTATTATTTCGGCAGTAAAATCCAACTGACTTAATACAACACGCAACGTATTATAAAAACTGAGGCAATGATTACCTTAGGTAGCGTTCATGTCAATGTGGTAGGTTGATGTTGCCGCTTGTCCATATCTATAAAGTTCATACAGTGTATTGTTCCCCGTTGAGGGCGATGTTTCTAGACAAAATATTGATGTAACTTATGTTTTGATCTGAGAAGACTGTTTTTTGTCTGCCAAGATGAATATCGAATAAATAAATTATTATTATTATTATTATTATTATTATTATTATGGGGTGTATAGTTTTTTGCTAATTATGATTACCAAGAATGGAAGTCGAAGAAAACATCTAAATATAAAACAGCATACCATGACGTCCAGTTTAAGGAAGACGATGTGTGGACAGAGATTCTGCAAGAAATGAAACGAAGTAATCGGTTATAAATATTACAAAATAGTAAAAGCAACGCCTTAAATTGTTCCTCGATGCAATTGATGAATTGTAAAAGAAACTGTTGCCAGAAATGGAATCGTTTTTCAGGGTTTAGTCGTCGCGAGCATGG